TATATTATATTATAATTATTTATAATTATAATTATTTTATGTGTATTATTAAGTTTCCAAACAATTTCTTCTGCAGCTATTTCAGTTTTGTTAGTTTTAAAATACATGCGAATAATTACTCGAAAATATTTTATGAAATTTTTAAGTTTAGAATATAGGGTTGATGCATTTCCTTCTTTTTCCCATTCTTTTGCGCAAAAGATCGCTATGATAGCAACAATTGTTCTTTTTTATTCCAATTCGATATATTTTCAGTACGATGCATTACATGTAATATTTTTATTGTGTTAGTTTCCTTCCTTTAAGTAATATAGATTACCATAATTTTCGTTTAACTGTTCCATTCAGTGTCAATGAATCCTTAAGCATCGATTCCAATGGGTCTTCCTTCATCAATGCAAATTTCATGAACCTATAACTACCAGTATCGTGTCCTACAAGCTCGACATCCTTAACATGGAGATCTACGTGTTGGAGACTGACAGTTCGATGTACTTACGTGTGCCTGGAGAATAGACACTCTCGCATGGAGAATCTCATGCCTGAACTTAGTCAGAGTCAATTGCATTAATTACTTCAAGGCTGCGCAATCGATGTTAATACAAGTCAATGTTGGTTATGACATACTGTCAACTTTAGGACCGAATATCCAGAAGGAATTATGTAGTCTAAATACTGAATACTATTAGCGACTGCAAATGCGTTCTATGACGATAGGTATCAACCTAAATTTGTGAAGAATTTTGTCTAACTATGACGATTAGTATTCAACCTGTAATTAGATCTTTGACAAAATCAGACTCTTATATCAAATTGATTACTGCAAACACATTGGTGTACCAGAGATGAAAGAAATATGAGCGCACGATAGAACAGAGTAAGAAAGAAAGAGAGTAAGAAATGAGGTGGAAAGAAATGAGACTACTCTCAAGATAATCGCATAATTTATATTTGTATATACAGTCACTTTACAACGCGTACTTTTTGTTATACAGTGTAGCTCACAAATACTTTAGGTCAGCGAACGGCGAATGGTCGCAGTAAAGACGGTATCAAAGTAAAAAAACTAATTCAAACGATCGCCTTGCCGCAATGGGTGTCCATCGTGAGAAACAAACAACGTTGAATGGTGTTGCACGCACAACGGAAGTCTCGAGAAATCATTTCCTCTCTGATCGGTATCATGGGGAGACAATCGATTTCGTTCCGTTTCGAAAGGGTTCGATAACTCACGGTTAATAATTTTCCTGGGACAAGGGAAGCTTTAGAGGGGAAAACATCGATCCTGTAATCTCTATCTAGATTGGCAGTAATTTTCAGGCATGGATTGAAATTTTTCCTCGCTCTTCTGCTTTCTTCTATACATTCTTCCGTTCTTAAACCGTACGCGAGCATCGTGAAATTCGTTTTCGTCGAACGATTTCCCAAGCTAGTCAGGTGGTAATCTTTATTGGTTTATTTTGTACCGTTCCGTCGATTACATATTGTACATCGTTATTACGTACATGCTTACGTAAATATCGGTCACATTGATGATTCGCAGACAAGCTACCGCAACAAAGTAGAACGTGGCGGTTTAACAAATAAGATCGACAATGGGAACAATTTATCATAAAATCAACATCGAAATTTTTAGAATATTCCTCATCTCTTTCGACATATCTTTTCACGATGCAACGCCTTCGATGTAGCAAAAAATGATTACAGTCGAAATTTAATAATTAACTTACACGTATGATATAACTGAAATCTACGAATTTTATCCTTAACGCTTACAAATTGAAATATATTCGATAAAAATATAATTATAATACGTTTCGAATCTAAGTTCGTTTTTTTCTTTTTCCATTATATAGATATATATATAAAACACAGTATATTCGTGAAAGCAACCTTGACGATCGAAGCAGATTTTTCCTCTTTATTCTCGGTATGAGCAGAAGTCGCATAATACAGGCGTAGCCTGTTCGTTATAATGAAACATTTCCTTTTTTCTCTGTCCTCTAAGGAGACACATTACTGGCCACAAATTCGTTTCGATATGTTAAATAGCGATATTCATTGGAAGAATACAAAGAATCACACTTTAAGAGGGAGGATATGTGACGATATTGCTCGCGATCGAATCGAATTCTCGGTAACGAGGAACAATTTTCATACGCAGCGAAGGCTTAATTATTCGAGAACGAACGCGTTTCTTCGGATTTTTCTCGCACACCGATCTCGATAGATCGACGGATATGAAAAGATATGATTGCTTACGAGACGTTACAATTATTCCCGGGGTAAAAGCGGTTTCGTTATCAAAATTGTATAAGCGCGTGTACCTTTCGAATAAACGAACGTAATAAAAAAGACACGTTTAAGAA